CCAACCAAAGTGTTTGACCAGCTTTGCCAGCGCGTCAGCCTGGAACTGGTCACTCGGGATGGTTCTGAAGAAACTGGGGTACTGTTGCTTATCAGACAGGCATGCACAGGTGGCAAAGTGACTAACCTAGAGGAAAACAACTTATTATTTAACAGGACTGATTCTAAAATGGTCTAAACCACAAAGTTTGCATTGATTTAAGATATTTACCAGCGGAACGTTAAAGGGCCCGATGATGCGCGACATGCTGATGGATGGCGTGGACCCGGACTCACCGACGACGGCCATCACTTTACCTGACTGAGTGCAATTGTCTCCGGCGTAAAACACCGGGTCCAGACCGCTTAGAAGCTGGAATGCCACGTGCACAGCAACAGGTGAAGACTCACACGAGTCGTAGATCTGATAACCAAGTTTGATGCCCGGCAGCAGCTTTGTGCTGGTGTTGATCTCCTCGATGGCGAAGATCATTGTGCGCGAGAAACGCAGTTCAAGGGAGTTGATGCTGCACACATACACTAGTGTTATTTAAAATGTGAAAAATTCACAAATTTTCACACAAATACATTGTGTGGTAGAAATACAAAACTAAAATCGTAACATAATCCAATATTCATGATAATCTAAATAATAAACAACTCTAATTTTATTTTTCATGATGCTTTCAAATCTACTACAATTATCTTCTTCTCTATAGACAAACAGACTTTATAATGGCTAAATGCATTAAACAATGTTAAAAAGTATGTAAACATTTCATCAGCAACATCCTCTTAATGCCCACTTAGTCCCTCTTACTAACCTCCCTGAGCATCTTATTGGACCAGGCATGGTGGTGTAGTTATGATCCACTCTTTGGATAAAGTAATGCATGGAGAAAACACCACCAACAACGTAGTCACCATCCATTGAGAATGCAGGTAGACGAGTGGCACCCTGCAGCTTACATTCCACAAATGAGCCCTCATCGCTAACTCCAACACCGGTCCTGTCCTCTGTAAGCCCGGCCCTTTGTTTCACTCCATCCCCAGAACCAGGCAAAGCAAGAGCTGAGTTCAGCTCATACAAACCCAGCGACACGATCAGACCAACGAACAGAGCAAAGATCTCCATCCCTCAACGATCCTCCTGTGTTTTCACTGCCTTATATACTTTTTCAGAGCAAAGCTTGCCTCAGATTGTACGTCAGCTTTCTCTACGTCAGAGAGGATGTTCTCATGGGCCTTTGATTAACCCTTGTCGAAGCCTTTCTGTGAGCTTTTTTTAACAATATAATCTCTATTACCACTCTTTCTCTTCTAATGAAACTACCAGCACTGATTATGTTCTTAAATAAGTACCCATTTTTGTGTTTCAGCTCATGTTACAGTTAAGTCTAACAAACGGCCATCACTAATTGTTTTTTGTGAGGTTGAATTATTAATTGAATAGGTGAAAGAAATACATATTTACATTATTTTTCGTCTTACTTTTCTATTTAATTTATTCTACAGACATTATGCCGTGGTACAAACAGTATTTGTAAAAAAAATTTTAAAGGATTTCCACAAAAATACATTAAAATGAATAAAACATTAAATGTGACAACAGTTGAAAGATAAATAATTAGATAAACAAATGAATTTACACATCATGACTGATAAGGTAAAATTGTAGCGACCCTATTCTGCAGTGTGTTCTGTCGGTGTCACGTCAGTCCCCTCACGCTGGCCAATCAGGGGGAGTTGCGGTTCATGCTAGACAGAGGGTGGCCAGTGATTGGGGGAGACGGTGGGAGGTGGGTGTTCCAGTGTTTTGGGGGTTTAGTAAGGTTTTCAAGCGGGAGTTCTATGTTGTTGTTATTGCCGACTGCAAGTATCGAGGGAGTTCACCGATAGCGTGGGGTGTATGTTTTCTGCTGCTGGAGAACCAAATAAAGGATTTCTACCAGAACGTCCATTCGCTTGCGTTTGCTGAGTGACCCACTACACCCCGATGCTACATTGGTGTCAGAAGTGACTTTGAACGGACAAGATCGCTAAACCCGGTAGTGAGCTAGCCGGTTAGCCTGCTGTGGGCATGGATCGTGTCTATGGGACTAACGTCAATGTTAAGAAAAGGGAGAAGCGGAGGAAGAGGGAGCTGGCGGTTGGTCAAAAGACATAGCCAGAAGTTTTGACGGAGCTACGAGGGATGCGAGGGCTCGTCTGAGAGAGTCTACGGTGAGGATGGCTAGAGCCCCGCACCGGAGTTTCCCGTGGTTTCTCCGGGAAATGTAGCGTTTAACTACAATGGTGGCGCCCGGCCAACCCCACCATGAGCCACGCAGAGGGGGGGGGGGGGGGGGGGGGGGGGGGGAAAAGGGAATTTTGGAAAAAAAATGTTGGGGCCCTACCCCCCCAAACCGGGGGAAGTGTTTGCGACCCCTTTTTAAACAAGGGTGTTTGCCCTTTAGGAAGAAACAAATGGGCCCAAATCCCCTCCCCCCCCCGAAAATTGAACCGGGGGGGCCTTGTTTTATTAATACCCCCCCCCGTACTTTTCCGGGCTCGCCAACAGGCTTGTGATGACGCGATCACCAGCAAGCTGCAGACGAGTGTCATCGAGCCGTCCGACAGCCCGTGGGCAGCAGCAGTTGTCATGGTCCCGAAGAAGATTTGCGCCTGGCGACTCTGTGCGGATTACAGGCCGGTAAACGGGGTGACCAAGAAGGATTCATATCCACTACCCCGCATTGACGAGTCCCTAGACATGGTCTCGGGATCTTCTTGGTTCTCTTCCTTGGACATCCACAGAAGATATTATCAGGTGCCACTCGCTCTGGAGGCCGCCCCAAGACTGCTTTCTGCACCGGACGGGGGCTGTGGCAGTTCAAAGTGCTCAGTTTTCGACTTTGTAATGCCCCTGCCACATTTGTAAGGTTGATGGACAAAGTACTGGCGGGAGTCCCCCGCCAACAGTGCCTGGTCTACCTGGACGACATCCTGGTTCACGGTAGATCATTCGAGCAAGCCCTGGCGTCGCTGCGGGTGGTGCTGTAAAAATAAGAGTGGCAGACCTGAAGCTTCACCCGGAGAAGTGCCATTTCATGCAGAGAGAGGTGTCTTTTTTGGGGCACCGGGTAGGTGGCGAAGGCATTGGCACCATGCGAGAAAAGGTGCAGGCGGTCGCAGAGTGGCCCACCCCTACCGGCCAGAAACAGCTAAAGAGTTTTCTTGGCCTGGCCTCGTACTACAGGAGGTTTGTACGAGGGTTTGCTGGCACTGCTGAACCCCTGTTCCAGCTGCTGCAGAAGGACAGAGATTTTTCCTGGATGGAGCAATGCCAGATGGCATTCAATAACTTGCGGTGCGCCCTGGTAGGGGCTCCGGGTTCTTGTCCCAGCCGACCCCGGCTTGCCTTTCACGCTGGACACGGATGCTAGACGATCAGGCATCGGGGGAGTGCTGTCTCAGACGAGCCCTGAAGGAGAGCGAGTGGTGGCGTACTTTGGCCGGACGTTCAACAAGGCTGAGCAGAGATACTGCGTCACCCGCAGGGAGCTCTTGGCAGTGGTGCTGTCAATCAGGCACTTCAGATATTACGTTTATGGCTGGAACTTCATGGTGAGGACAGACCGCCCTGCCCTGCAGTGGCTCATGTCATTCAAAGAGCCAGAGGGGCAGTTGGCCAGGTGGTTGGAGGAGCTCCAGGCTTTCGACTTCAACGTGGTAGACCGGGCTGGGACACGCCACGCCGCATAAGGGTGCTACTACTGCAAACGAAGAGAGACTCTCGAGCAGGAACTGCGAGAGGATGAGGGAGACGGTGCGGCAGTTCGGCGGCAGGAGGAGTTTGGGGGCCAGGAGCGGCAGGCAGTGGACCTGTCTGAATGGAGGCAACACCAGGGACGGGATGTTGACCTACAGCCCTGCAGTGCAGTGAGTGGAGGCACAGCGGCAGCCCCCCTGGGAAGAGGTGGCAGTGTTCTCCAAAGCAACCAAAGGTTTGTGGTCCCAGTTTGAGTCTCTGCGCCTGAGGGCGTGCTTCAGCGGGCATGGAAGGAGCCAGCAACAGGGAAGGAAAGGTGGCAGATAGTGGTTCCCAAGGACCTGCGCGTTTCGGTGCTGGAAGCCATGCATGGAGCTGCAGGGTCCGGACATTTTGGGGTTTCCAAAACACTGCGGCGTCTTCGCCAAGGCTTTTACTGGGGGCAGTGCAGGAGGGACGTGGAGGATTCCTGTCGCCGCTGTGACGCCTGTGTAGCACGAAAGGGCTACCACCAAGCATGTTACTAGTACTTCTAGTAGTACTACAACTGATACTTCTACTACTATACTACTAGTATTTTACTGCTATTAATACTACAACTACTACTAATGTTATTACAAATACTAGTATGGATAATAGTATTAGTATTACAGCTGTTTCTACTGCTATTGATACTAAACCGACTTCTACTGCCAGTACTACTAATACCACAATTACAACTATAACTAATACTACTACTAATATTACTACAAACAATTTTAAACCTATTTTTATTAATCTCAGCTTTTGTTATTTCTGTACTTTTTAAAACTCAATTAAGCTCCTGCAACTTCTGTATTTTTTTGAAAATCTATTGAAATTCAGCTTCCCCACTTCCTGTATTTTCAGCAGTTCTTTAAAATAATTTCAGCTTTTCTTATGCCTGTATTAACAGCAATGTTTTAATAATCATTTCTGTATTTTTTTGCAATATTTCACATTCATTTCAGCTGTTTTCATTTCTGCTTTTTCAGCAAATCTATTGAAATTCATTTCAGCTTCTCCCATTTCTGTATTTTCAGCAATTTCAAATTAATTTCAGCTTTTCTAATATCTGTAATTTCAGCAAATGTATTCAAATTCACTTCAACTTTCTGTAATTTCAGCTTTTAAAAAAAAATCCTTTCAGCTTTCAGCTTTTTGCATTCCAACGCATTTTTAGCAGGAAATGCATTTTCTAGTTCTAAATTAGATGAATTGAAGCAGAGATTGCATATAGACATAGCGGATATTTACATTGTGCCAGTGGGTACATTTATCAAAATGGACGTTAATGTGTTTTTAGCCGAGAACGCACATAAGAAACCAGATCTCTTTGTTTCCCCTTTTTGACTTTAATAATTTGAGTAAAAATCCGTTCGATTGTCAGATAATCTAGCATTAAGTTTTGTTCATTAAATATTTCTTTGTGTTTTTCTCCGGCTGAAACAATATGATGAAACACTTTGGTGCAAAAATACACAACATGAGTCCAAAACTGGAGGCCAGAATGGCAAATATCTCCACAGCCACAGTAAATTTACCAGGAGAGCTGACATATGCTGGGATAAAGGTGACCCAGACTGCACAGAATATCAGCATGCTGAACGTGATCAGCTTGGCTTCATTAAAACTATCAGGTAGTTTCCGGGCTAGGACAGCTAGCACAAAGCAAAAGACAGCCAGCAGGCCGATGTACCCGAGCACCGCCCAGAACCCAATAATTGAGCCCAGTGCACACTCCAGGATGATTTTCTCCTTGTACGTGGTTAGGTTTTTCCTTGGAAAAGGAGGACTAAGAACCAACCAAAGGGTACATATTACGACTTGAATGAAGGTAAAAGACACTACGGTCATTCTTTGCTGTGGAGGACCAAACCATTTCATGACATTATGACCCGGGAGAGTGGCTTTGAACGCCATTAACACGACTATCGTTTTTCCAAGAACACAAGACATACAGAGGACGAAGGTGATCCCAAATGCTGTGTGACGCAGCATGCAGGACCAGTCAGAGGGGGCTCCAATGAAAGTTAATGAGCACAAGAAACACAGAGTCAGAGAGAAGAGCAGCAGGAAGCTCAGCTCAGAGTTGTTGGCCCTGACAATCGGGGATGTCCTATGACGGTGGAACACAGCCGCTGTTAGGACAGCAAGACAGGCACCTCCAACTGAGAATGCACACAGGATGATCCCAAGGCCCTCGTTGAAGGAAAGAAACTCTACAGGCTTGGGGAGACAATTGTTTCTCTTTGCATTAGGCCAGAATTCCTTGGGGCAAGGGAAGCAATCAGGGGAATCTGAAACAAAATTACAAAAGAAATGGATTTTTTAGCTTTTGTACTCAATATTTGATCTTGTGCAGTACATTACAATAATTAATACCTGTAGCATTACTAATCTCTCCCTCAGGACACAATACACAATCATAACAGCAGATGGGTTTTCCTTTCTGCAGCATTTTCCGAGTGCCTGGACGACAGCTGTCAGAACAAACTGACACGGGCACCTGGAGACACAGACAAACACTCATAAATTGATGTGCTTTGATATGCTGAGGATTAAAGGTTCGGTTCGACTTCTTTCAAATTCTGTCCAAAATGTAAACTTGCACGTCATCAAGTTGTTTGTGTTCATGTATTTGTCATATCAACTTCTGATGGAAACAAATTAATGGTTTTGTAAAAACATGTGTTCTTTTCAGTACGTTTTCACATTCAGTATGGACAAGAGAGGAGCAAAAACACAATTTGCAACAATTCCAAGAATGTGTCATAACATCAATTAGGGGCTTCCTACTTGTGTGCCACCCTCCACCCAGGTGAGGTTCCCATCAATATGGATTTCCTGGCCCACTGGCTGTGACACATTGTAGTGTCCTACTGTCACTAACTCAATGCTGCCACTCTCACTTTCCTGCCAGTTAATCAGCTCGTATGTGGCCACAGGGTCCCCATTGGCATCAAATGACACATCATAACCATTCTGGGAGAATTTAACTTTCTTCAACTGATTTAGAACCTGCAAGGGGGAAGGGAAGGAAGACAGTGACAGCGAGAAATTAATCAACCTCTAATAAAGTCAATAGTTTATTTTAGAAAACTTTTTTTAAAAGGACATTTTTCACATATCATTTGTCTTGACTGACCTCTTTGATCTCTATGCTGGTGAGGTTGTCACACATAGAATGTGTTTCCTGAAACACTGCATTATGAACGGCATGTGCTATAGCATAAACAGCCTTGTACACCATGTTAGTGATTCTGAACGGAGCTGTAGAGTATGGGCTCTGGATCTTCTCTATGTCTTCAGTTCCATCACACACGTTCTTGTCTGAGACTCCTGCAGAAAACACACAAAAAATCCTCATATCTTATAATTCAAAGAAATGCACGATTTTTCCATTTCATGTCTTTGTTCAATACAATATATCCTACTTGTAATCACTCTAGGATTGTGTTTTTAAAGCAGCTTGTAATCCACTCCAGGATAATAAACGTAATACTAGAGCAGATAAAGACCATACTGGGAGTGTGAGTTAAAGATCTGTCAAACATTCTCACTTTTTTCCAGCCTGCAGTTGAACTGTTCCTCCCAGAACTCAGTCAGAATCTGAGTAGCTGCAACTTCAGATGGAGGGAGATCCAGCAGGAAGTCTCTCAGACCTGGGATGACAGATCGCTCAATGCCAAATCCGATTGCGCCAGCGCAGAAACCGAACTGCAGCATGTTTGGGTCAGTTACCCAGGATTCGCTGCCTATCCACTGGCGTGGTGGAGAGGGCTTCAGCGACAGCTCCTCCAGCAGAATCCTCAGTTCTCCAGGCGACATAAATGCCACAATAACCACAGCTGTCGACCTGGAAAATAATAGGAATACATTTATTAATATAATCAAAATTTATTGTCAAATATTTGCATGTAGAGGATGTATAGAAATAGTTAAAGCTGTTCTTTGTCTCACTTAGTATATCATTAACAAATGTAATAAACATAATAAGAGATAAATACACGGGATGAAAGAAAAACATTGTTTTCCTTGAAGTGCTTTTGTTGTAGATTTGGGTGCAAGTCAGTGTGAGCACACAATCATTGAATGTAGAAACCTGCGGATGATGTCAGCTACTCTCTGGATCCTGCTTCGCGGGTTGGTCCGATAGAAAGATTCAGAATATTCCACACAGATCCCCTCTTTGTGCGCTGCGTCCAGGAAAGACGCCATGCCACTGTTCCCATAATCGGAATCCGACCGGATAGCACCTATCCAAGTCCAACCAAAGTGTTTGACCAGCTTTGCCAGCGCGTCAGCCTGGAACTGGTCACTCGGGATGGTTCTGAAGAAACTGGGGTACTGTTGCTTATCAGACAGGCATGCACAGGTGGCAAAGTGACTAACCTAGGGGAAAACAACTAATTATTTTCACAGGACTGATCCAGAAATGGTCTAAACCACAGAGTTTACATTTATTTAAGATATTTACCAGCGGAATGTTGAAGGGCCCGATGATGCGCGACATGCTGATGGATGGCGTGGACCCGGAGTCACCAACGACACCCATCACTTTACCCGACTGAGAGCAATTGTCCCCTGCGTAAAACGCCGGGTCCAGACTGCTTAAAAGCTGGAATGCCACATGCAGAGCAACAGGCGCAGACTCACACGAGTCGTAGATCTGATAACCGAGTTTGATGCCGGGCAGCAGCTTCGTGCTCTTGTTGATCTCCTCGATGGCGAAGATCATTGTGCGCGAGAAGCGCAGTTCACGGGAGTCAATGCTGCAAAATAAATATAGTCAATTTAGAACATCTTCAATTTAGAGTTATTGACAATAATAGCTGCACTTCCAACGGGAAACAAAATTACATTGAGGAGATGCTTTAACACCAAATGCAACACAGAGGATGAGATCAAAACTCAACAGCATCTTCATATAATAGTACATTCGTTTTTTTTAAAAACTCATAAGTGTTCATTGTATTTTGTTTTGTCTTTTAGATAATATTATTGTTGAATGACAGAGTTATAGGTTTCTTTCTTTTGTACATTTCTAGTAAAAAAACTGCATTATAAAATGATTAGCACTGTAAAAAAAAACACTATTTCCATCTAGAGTACATCCTCTTAGCTTGCACTTCTCTCTCCTACTAACCTCCCTGAGCATCTTATTGGATCAGGCATGGTGGTGTAGTTATTTTTCACTGTGTATGTGTAGTGGTGTATGGAGAAAACACCACCAACAACGTAGTCACCATCCATTGAGAATGCAGGTAGACGAGTGGCACCCTGCAGCTTACATTCCACAGATGAGCCCTCATTGCTGACTCCAACACCGGTCCTGTCCTTTGTAAGCCCGGCCCTTTGTTTTACTCCATCCCCAGAACCAGGCAAAGCAAGAGCTGAGTTCCGCTCATACAAACCCAGCGACACGATCAGACCAACGAACAGAGCAAACATCTCCATCCCTCTACGGTCCTCATGTGTTTTTACTGCTTTATATAGATTTTCAGAGCAAAGCTTGCATCAGATTGTACGTCTGCTTTCTCTACGTCAGAGAGAGGATGTTCTCATGGGCCTATGATTAACCCTTGTCGAAGCCTTTCTGTGAGCTTTTCTTACTATATAATCTATTTTTTGACTCCTCTTATAATAAAATGACCAACACTAAATATGTTCTTACATAAGTACACTTTTTTTGTTTCACCTCATGTTAGTTAGGTCCAACAAACGTCAATCACAAATCAATTTTTGTGTAGTTAAATTGTTAATTGAATTAGTGAAAGAAACACCTATTTACATTATTTTTCTTCATACTTTTCTATTTACTTTATTCTTTAGACATTATGCCGTGGTACATTGAATTTGATGAAACATTAAATGTGACAAAAGTTCAAATGTAAATAAACAAGTGTAATGTGCACATCATGGGATTTCTTATTGAACTTTGCTTTTGCAGCCACAATGTAGTTTGTTTCTTTTACGGTTTGCATCCAAAAAAATGCAGAATCAGAAATTTTCTTAAAAGTGTAAAAATGTTGGAGTGAGACTATTGAGACTATTATGCGAATATTCTAAATTAGATTAATTGAAACTGTCAGAAAGGTACTTTGGGGAAGATAAGACTCAGACGCAGAGTTTGCAGGAAAATAAAAAGGACTTTAATAGTAAAAAATTCCAGAACTCAAATGTCCAAAAACGTAGTCGGGGAACAGGAGGCAAGAACTGGGACATGGACATGAGCTTCCGAACGATTAACAATGACGCGACAAGTGACAAAAGAAACATGGCTTAAATACACTAGGGAGGTGCAGGTGATTGGACACAGGTGGAACAATCATGACACGGCAGACAATCACAGGGGATGACGGGACAAGGCAGGAAGTGAAGTTACCCAGGGACACAAGAGGCAGAAAACTACAAAATAAAACGGGACATGAACCCAAACCGTGACAGGACTCCCCCCTCACGGGGAAAATTCCAGATGGCCCAAACCTGGCAAAGAACAGACAAGGGGCGGGAGGGAAGGAAACCAAAGACGCTGGTCGGGCCCCCCGAGGAACTCTGGCGGGCGGCCCGGCGGGCTGCCAGACGGCCGGGGAGCTTCCAGGGGTCGGCCTGGAGGACGGTCAGCAGTCCGGCTCCGGAGCGCCGACTGCAGGGCACTGGAAGTCTTCGTAATCGCCGGCTGGGGAACACGGCACGCCTCCGTAATCGCCGGCTGGGGAACACGGCACGCCTCCGGAATGTCCGGCTGGAGGGCACTGCACGCCTCCGGAATCGCCGCCTGGAGGGCACAGGAAATGTCCGGAGTCGCTGGCTACGCGGCACAGGAAGCCTCCGGAGTCGCTGGTTCAGTCCCCGCCAGAGCCCCCACCCCAAGAGCCGGATCCCAGACGGCCCACTGACCACCAAGGGGAGGGGGCTGGTACCGGGGTCGGGGGCTTGGATCGAGGGGCCGGTACGGGAGTGGTGGGGCCGGCACCGGGGTCGGGGGCTTGGATCGCGGGGCCGGTACTGGGTAAGTCGGAACCGGGAGTGGTGGGGCCGGTACCGGGGTCGGGAGTCGAGGACCTGGGTCGGGAGGCCGGGAAGGGAAGCTGCTGCGGCCCAGCGCTGGAGGCTGTCCGCTCCGGCCGAGCGTGGAGAGCGTGGGTGGCCTGGAGCCGGACCGCGAGGTCCATCACCCGCTCCCAGTGTGATCCGCTGCCGGACGACCACGAGATGGCCTCCTCCTCTGGAGGCGACGTGGTGGGCGGAGGACGGTGAGAGCGGCGACCCGAATGCCCACGAGGGCTCCGGGAGAGCAGACCGAGTAGGCGAGGATTCCAGCTGGGACCCCAGGGAGGGTTTTTTTCCCATAACGGGCAGCCAGCTGTAGACTGCGTGGCCTGCCCATAGCCAGACGGGTTCCCCGAAACTGTTCCCAGGGAAAAACCTCTGCTGAGTCCTTTCTCGGTCGCGTCATTCTGTCAGGAAGGTACGTTGGGGACGGTACACAGGAAATTGCCAGTGTCAAAGTATTTGAATTCTTCTGGAGTTCTTCCAACAATGGACAGAGTAAAATTGAACCAGAAAACTTCCAGTGTTGGTGAAAATAATCAGAGTTAACAGAGGTTTTACTCTGTCAGTGTCATTGACTCTCTCAGGCTCTGATTCAACACTGATTAGAGCAAGATACCTTCCAGAGTATTACAAAAAATACTCTGGAAAGCCCCGCCCATCAACTTTTCCCGGTCAAACTGAGAATGTGGATTCTGGCATCACCATCTTCCTTGCATCGAAATACTGTGGTAAGTCTTTCTACTATAAACTATTGTCGTTGTTTTTTCTTCATTCGAGTAGAATCTCTATAAGAATAAAGGGACGTATTCATTCACCACACTAGTCAATGTTGGGTACGTGTCTTCAAATACCGAATTTCAAATGGCTAACGTGATATCGATCGGCGGTTAGCTTAAATGTAGCAGCCACATGTCTGACCACGCAACACCAAACTGAACAAAAACGACACGAGGTAACGTTAATATCAGCGAGGACGAGCGGTCGTGCTTATGTGTCATGCTTGCACATTTATTTCAGTAAAATTACGACAAAAATTTGTTGAAGCAGTCATATTTATTATTTCTATTTGAGCCAGAGCAAATCGCTTTAGCGTCACGCCACAATTTGGTCGAGCATAGCGGGACATGTCACGGACATGCGGACATGCTCATAGGACCCGCTAGTTCACCGGCAGACTGCGGAATGCACCGAGTCGACCCAGTTAACGTGAACCGAGCCGCGGCTCCGAGAGGCTTGGTTCACGTCAACTGCTGCTGTAGCCATAGATATACAAAGAGTAGACGCTGCATTGGCTGGTGAGGTGCAAACAAATATTTTTTATTATATTATATACCAGAATATTATTACTGTTACGCCTACTATAAATATTAAAATACGCCGAATCATGTGTCCGGTGTCATGCCTACAAAATCCCGTGAAAATCCGCTTTTGTATTCAGCGAGTGATGCGCTGACACTTCATTGCGCCAGCTGACAGATCACACTGAGTGGAGCGGGTGACCGGTCCAAGTTGGCGGCCCCACGGCTCGTCAGCACCACTAGGCAGCAGCGGTCGATGTCTATTCTTGATGTCTATGGCTGTAGCTGCTGTAAGCTTAATTTATGCTTCCACGTTACGGCGGCAGCGTAACCCCGTCATTAAGCAAGTTCTCCGTTGCTCTACAGTTCCTCCCCCATGCCGCTAGGGGGGTGTTGCTGTGTGTGTTTCTGCGGTTGCCGAATCCTTGGTGAGCCGAAGAACAAATGCTCATATTGAAGCGCAGGCTACGGAGAAGACGTAATTTACAACACTGGTTCACCCACTGAGGGACCTGGATGAGCAATTGGACTTTTGATACTTTCGAATGTCAACAACTGCCGCAAATTACGTTCTGAGCGGACCAATCACAGCACTTGCGGTCAACGTCAACTCGACTCGCAGTTAGATTTTTTCGGAGGTGCACGTCAGGCTACGGCGGAGGGGTCTACGTAGTTACTTAATATGTATACATATTTTCTTTTTTATTTCAGATAGTTCTTTAATGTACTGTGGTGCTCTGGTGGTAAGTAATAAGTTGATGTACTTGACCGAAAATTTTGTTGTGTTTGTGATTTTTAAAGCTGAAATAGGGTATTTTCAGGTTGTCAGCTTGTACTGGTGTTGTGGATCATAATGTTGATTTCAGTTTGCTGTCATTGCAGATACTCATGTTGATCAAAACATTCCTGTCACCCAGCACCAACCAAGATCTTTGCCACTGTGATAAGATGTGAGCTTTACATGTTTTAGGTTTACGTTTGATGCCAATATTTCATGTTTACTTGGAATAAATAGGTATTACAGTATGGATACAATTGTCGGTGTGTTTTCCCCCTGCATAGATATGCAACACTGGTAGGAGTTGGTTAAAAATCAAAACTCTTTGGAGTGATTTCATAATCAACATAGTGTAAAGTAGGTTTATCACTGGAAAAGTAATTTATTTTATAACTCTTTAGTGTTACATGCGAATAACAGTATGGGTGTTACTTCTCACATAGTGTAAAACTTGATTGACACTTCTTAGAGTTAATATTATTACACTAAACTGCACCAAGTGTAACATTTTAACTCTTACCAGAGTAAAATTGACTCTGGAAATTTAACTCTGTGTTCGGTGTACATTTTACACTCTGTAGATAGGAACCATGTGTTCACTAAGGTAGTGTTAAAATTGACTCTAAGTCAGGGGTGT